AAAAGAAAAAGGAAAGACAAAAAGAAATTAATTGAATTGTACTTTATAATATGGTTGCAATAATTCAAATTATTAATGTTACATTTTATTAATTAACACCATTTATCTTTCCATCCCTTTTTTTTTTTTTTTTGTTTTTAAGAGAAAAAAAAAGCTGTCAAATTGTTGCACAGAAATTGCATTTTAAAATAAAAGACTTTGGGAAATTTTAGAAAAAAAAAAAAAAGAAAAACGAAAAGTTTTTTTTTTCTTTTTTTGTTTTGCTTAAAGAAATGAACAAACGCAACAACAAAATCTAATGGGAATATTGCGCTTTTTTTTTTCTTTTTTTTTTCAAAGTTCATTTCTATCGAATAGATTTTGTTGCATTAAAAAAGAAATATTCAAATTTAACAAAATCGTTTCTTTTTCTTTTTAAAATATCTTTGCCATTTTAAGAAGTAAACATTTTCCATTTTTGTTCTTTTTTTCGTTCTTTTTTCTTTCGATTGTTAATTCTTAAAAATTTTTTTAGTAATAATAATTTGAAATTAAAATAATTTGATGTGTAAATTAATATATATATATATTTATTCTTTTGAAATATTATAGGATAAGTAATATGATTGTTGTTATAGGTAAATAATTTAGAGAGTAATGATGATGAATGAAATAATATATAACATAATGTAATATGATAACTAAAATAGTTTTAAAAAGAAATAAAATATAATATTGATTGATTTAAAGCAAAACAAAAAAAAATTGATAGCGAATGATCAATTATAAATAAATTAAATGATGAAAAAATCATTTGGGAAAAAAGTTGATAATTAATTAATTAAATTATCAATGAAGAACGGTATCGAATAATGTGATGCGAATTTCGGGCACTTGTGATAGTTAATTAGTTCCATTTTAATTAGGTGAAAAAATTTAAATGGAATTAAAGATTCAATTAAATTTTATAATTAATAAATGAATATATGTGATGTGATTAGAAAATTTGATTCAAAGTTGTCGAAATTTTTTTTGTTATTTTTCTTGTAAAAGTTGCTTAAAATTTTTTGCATCTTTAGATAATTTATTATAAAAGACAAAAAAAAAGAAAGAGGATTTGTTACATTTCTAATTTTGTGATAAGTTATTTTTATCAGTTTAATTAGCACATTAGCTTAATAATGATTAGTTTTAGAAGAAAACATCAACAACAATTTATTTTATTATTTCCCCGTAGATCTTTTACAATTTTAGTCTTGAATTTGAAGCAACAATAAAATTTTAAAACAAAAAATTGATATTTAAAAAAAGAAAAAACATGGTTTCATTTTTTATTTCATTTAATTTTAGCATAAACTGAATGATATTAATAAATGGTAGGTAATATATCTTGTTGCCTTTTAATTTTAGCATCGTTTTTCGCATAAGCTATTAATTTATGATTTTATAAATGAAGAAATAAAATTATTGCCTAAGAAAATTTATGAATTCCCTTCATGCTATGTAAATTTACATACCTTAACTGGCTTTCTCTTTTTGAATTTTGAATTTTTGACATAGATGATCCTTTTTTCTTTTTCTTTTTCTTTTTTTTTCAATTTATAAAATAAAATACAATTTTTTTTTAATTTATAAAATGAAATACAATTTTTTTAATTTATAACACAAAATACAATTTTTTAATTTTTTACAAATACAATTTTTTTTGCACCTGAACATAGCATAAATTTACAAATACTATTTGCAATAATCAAATTCAAAATTACCTTTAAAGTAACAGTTATCGATTAATCTTATATATGATCCAAAATTATCATTTAAGTAATATTCAATTATCGATAATTATGTAATCAATTTGATCTCTTGTATGATCATATTTAATAACAATTAGTCGAATAATATAGTAGAATTAATTTCAACTTGTTAAAATGTTTCAATAACAAAAACAAATAATTGGAAATGTAGTAGTTACGTTATTTTAAAAATTCTTGAAATTATTTATAAATTTATAATTGAAATATTTTATTCGTCAAAATAATCATTCTAATCTTTTATCATGTGCTTATCTTCTGCTCTATTATTGCTGATAAGCATTTATTTGCTCAATCAATTTATTCGATGATAGCTGATATGAATTTAAATTTCAACAAATTAAATAGTTTACGACAAATGGAAAAATATGAAGAAAAAATGAAAGAAAGGCAATCTTTTCCAATAATAATGTTAGAAATGAACAGATAGACATAAAATGAATGGTAAATCATAATTGGAATAGAAATAACTAAAAATGAAAATTTTAAAATAATAAAAACTTAAGAGAAAAAATGACCGATTTGCTTGTAATATTTAATAAAAAACTAAATTATCTCTTTCCAAATCAAAATTATAATTTAAGAATTGAATAATGCTAGAAGTTTTAAATTTGAGAAAACTGGAAATATTTGGAAAGTAGCTAACTTTCCTTTTAATTATGCATGTTTAAATTAATAAACGGTAATAACGATAGCGTCAATGATAATTGATAATGCTAATTGATGATGATAATGATAAATGAACAATACGTAAGCAATTTTTCTAATTTTTTAACAATTTTTTTTTTTACTATATTCGATAATTCGCATAAAGCATTTTTTCCATGCAAATTTTGTCAAAAAAATTTTAAATTTATGTTTTCATTGATCTTTGTACATTTAACATTTCCCCTTCATTTTATAATTTTATGTTAGTTCATTATTTAAATAAATTTAAGTGTTATTTTAAAAATATTATTTTTAAATATTAAAATTTTTCATTATTTAAATAAAACATTAACTTTTAATAACCAAACAAATTATTATCACATGTTGAAATTTTCAATGCCAAAATTTGACAAATTACATAAGTTATTGAAAAGAATATTTAAAGACAAATAACATCCAAATCAATAATACTAAAATTGATTTGGAATGATTTTAGATTAATACTACTTAAAATTTAAACTATTCTAACAGTTCCTTTTGATTTAAATAATGATAAAGTGATAACAGATGAAGTATGAATAATGATATGAAATTAAATACAATAATGAAAAAGAAAAACTAAATATTTAAGTGATGAAATTAAATTGGAATTAAAAATTCTTATGGTATTTAAATTGTATGAATACGAATAAAAAATTCTTCCCTTACTCTGATCTACCCATTAACGTTGGTATCCATTTCTAAGGTTTAAACAAAAAAAAAAAGACTTTATCTTTTTTTCAAATTTATTCCATTCTCTTAAGCAGATACTATAAATTACAAATGCAGAAAAAAATTAAACTTTGTATCAAAAAAAAAAATATTAAAATTAATTTTAAAATTATAATAATGAAAAAAAAAGTATTTCAAATTTAATTTTTTGAAATATTATTTTGAAAAAAAAACAATTCATTTTTAAATTTTTTTTTTTTTTTTACGCAAAAATATAAATATATGATTATTTTGATATTTTATATTTTTTTTTTTATTTTCAGCGAATCATACAAATTTATTCGTATGGCGGATGATTTACATGATTTGGCACGCTACCTCAATGATATGCGAATATGTTTTATAGCATTAACTGTTATGGGATATATTGTATTGATATTATATGGAATTATCTTTTGTGTTAGGAAGAATCGAAGGCAACGTGGTGCTAATAATGCTAATTCAAGGACAAGGGGACGATGGGATTTTCAGGTAAAGGTAACTAAAACTTTTCTCATTTCCTATCTTATACCTCTCATTTAATTCTAATTAGTTTGCAATATAATTATGGTCAATTAAAAAAAAAAAAGTTGATTTCATCATAAAATGAATGAGATGATGCTTATTGTACCGTATGGTAGTTACATGTGTTTTGCATATAATTATCATACGATATAACAGTCATACGGTACACGATTTACAAGTAATCAGCTACAATGTTTATTTATGATTTAATAATGCGTAATAATATATTATAGGTATTCCATTTCTCAAGGTTGAAAATATTTTGTAATATTTTGTATTAAATGATTCTTTATAACAAACATATATTGATGAAATACCATTTAACTTTTAATAATATATTATTTATTATGTGATATGTAAATATCATGATACTGTAAGATATATAAAAATGATTTAGATCATGTTCATAATTTCATTTATATTTTCGAAAATTTTAAGAATGAGAAAGTAATGAATGGTAATAAAAAGAATTATGGCTATTTTATCTATCCATCTATTATCTAATCCTTTATCTGAATTCATTTATCATATTCTAAAATTATCATTTCAATAAAGGATATGTTAACAATATTTGTAGAAAATAACAAAATTGTCATATAAAATACAGCAAAGAAAATATAAAAGATCAAAATATTAATACTAGAATTTAAAATATAATAATATACTGTTGCTATGATACTGCTAAACATATTATTATAATGATATATTGATAGTACGATACTATAAAACACATTATTATAATGATATGTTGATATCACGACATTACATGACATTTTTTATTTCTTATGCAATATGTTGATACCATATCATAATATTATCAAACATATATCCGAGTGAAATAGACAGACATCATTATGATTAGTTAGACTATGATTTCGGTATAACTAATACTAGAAGAATTAATCGTAATTAAACCTTTATTGAATTCAGATCATATATTTACTACTAAATGAGTTAAGTAAACTTCAACCTAAGTAAACTAAGTTAATTTTAGCTAAGCTTAGGCTTAATCTTTTATTCTTATTTATAAATTTACAACCAAATAATGTAAAATTATAAATTGGAAATGAAATAAGCTTTGCAAATGAAATTATTTTGTATTTTATGCAAGAATATTTTTTGTTATCATTTAAAGATTTTGAAAGTAGTAAACTAAAAGAATAAAAAACTAAACTTCATCAATTCATGATTGCAAATAATTGTACTGATGGTTGAAATGATGATGATGAAATGAGTATTTAATTAGTAATATATCGTTTAATCAATCAATTTCAACTGGAATTTTAGGTTGAAAATAGAGATCAACAGCATACTCAAAATGATGATTTGGTATCTGTAAGAAGTGATGGATTACAGGGTGTTACGTCAAGTTTCGGTTTAGGTTCTTTTTTTATTTTCTTTCTTTCGTTCCATTCCATTTCCTATTTATTTATGTAATTTATTTCAGATTTAATATAATCATATAATTTACATTATTATTCAATTAATTCACCGTCATTATTCGTACAATTAATATGATATTGTATGATAATATCAGCTGATTTGTTTTGTTTTACGCAAAATTTTTCGAAAAAAATTTTCAACCAAAATTTTAAAATTCCAAATTTTCAAAATTTTCCAATGAAAAAGATAAAAAAATACCGCAATATTTAGGTCGCAATTATCACCGAAATCCTGCATCATTCATGCGTCATGGTATTGGCATGAATCATGCTCAACAAACTACAAGGTAAGCATTTCCTTCAATTTTGTTGCATATTTGTGAATTTAAATTTGGTTTAGTTCCTTCAAATTTCAATTTCAAAGGAGATTGTTGCGATTGTTGTTTAAAACGCACCGTTTTAAACGATAAATTATTTCAAAATTTTTAAATGACAAATTTTTCAAATGACAGATTGTCTCAACTGATCGACTATTTGATGGAAAAGACTGGAAATGAAGGAATGAAAAAAAAAAGATTGAGAATGAAATGGAATAAAACTCGCATACTTTCTCTAATGGCTTTTAGTTCTTTTTAAACTTTCATAAATTCCTTATTTACTCCTTTTTTTAAAACTTTTTTTCCTCATTTTCATGAACAAACAAAATAAAAAGAAAAATTGTAATATATTCTGAAATTGGAAAAATTACATTAAAGAAAACTTTTTGATTTAATATAAAACTTATCAAAAAATTGCAGATTTTTGTTAAGATTTAAAAATAAAGCAATGAGAAAAAATTGGCAATAATAGCTTAATGAAATTTGAATAAAATTGCGAATCTCAAGATTGTTATGTTTTGAATCTCGAGAAAAAAAATTTTAAGAATCTCTGATAAATTAACTAAATCGATTGTTAATTTAAATC